GCCCTATTACCTGACCCACACACACTACACTTGAGGAATTGCCACACGAGTAGCAACCCCCTAGATCCCCGGATCTACTGATTGATCTGTAGTGCTACCTAACGGCTCAGACCAAATACACACACCTCTTTTGAGTAGAAGACGCGCTCCATTGTTATACAACGGAAGGCGCGCTCAAGCAACAGACTCGCCGGATTTACACGCCAACAGTTTTGATGGTGACTGTGAGATTCGAATATGACGGTGGCACTCGTTACCCCCCCCTCCCCGATTTTTTTTTTACGAACACAATTATTATCATATATAATAATTAGACGTACACCACCGCTTACCCACTTTAGTTCCCCCTCACAATTATAATCACGACACTCGCTACTCCCCCGATCATTTGTTACAGACACATTTAAAAAAAAAAAAAAAATCCTTTAATCATTACTGGTTGTTTTATTAATTAAATTCTTTCTTTTAGGTACAAGCAAAAAAAAAAACAGACACAAGCGAACGCGGTTACAATTAAATGTCACAGTACGAAAATACTTACCACATGAAGCGGCAATAAATGACGACCAGTTTCAGCAGCTAATATGGAATGTATTTGAGGCCATAAACGACATAGCAAGCAAGTTGAATAGGATGTGGGAAGCTGACCCTGTGCAAGCGAAACCGTTCGCCGGGGAAGAGAACGACGACCCAGTCGAATGGCTAGAAGGTTTCGAACGAATGGCAGAAGCTAACGAGTGAAAGAATGAAAAGAAGTTGAAAATAGCCCCAGGGTATCTGCTGGGGCTGGCAGCCGACTGGTATAAGGAAAGTAAAAATGAAATTATAGTATGGAAAAATGACGAAGAATCTGCGCAGAGTTTCTACCATGCACTAGTGGAATACTTCGCAACGTCGGAGAAATGACATAAGTGGCAAATAGAGTTAAATGAGCTGAGTCAGAAGAATGACGAGAAAGTAGAAAAGTATGCCACGAAGTTCAAGCGCTTACTAACGAGGGTAGACCCGAAGGGAACAATCCCAGATGACTACGTATTGAGAATGTTTTTGAACAGACTAAAAGGCAATACTGCTACCTTCGTAGCCATGACATCGCCTAGGGACTTAATGGAGGCCATTGCAGCGGCATGCAGAGCAGAGGCAGAAAACTATTATGAGCAACAGGCCCGGGGAAGAACAAGGAATGTGACAAAACAACTAGAGAATAACATAGAAAGGCTTGAGCGACGGATCAAGGAACTTGCGACGAACCAAGAGAAACAACGGAGGGAGCCACGACAAGAACAAAGAGGCGGAGAAAGGAAAAACGTAGTTTGCTACCATTGTGGAGGAAAAGGACACATAGCCTGGCAGTGTACTGAAGGAGAGGCATGAAAAGGGCTTGTGAGAACCACGATCCCGAAAGTGCAGTACTGCTACGAAATAGGAGGAAACGAGGGGGAAGAGGAAGAGGAGGAGGCATACATACTGGGGACAGCAGGAAAGAGGAGCAGGCCGAGGCAACAGGAAGGGAGGGACATGAACGAATCATGAAAGACACCGAAATCTATAAGAACACAGAAACCAATGGTGATCGTACACCCCCCCAAGGTAACTGGTGTCACCAAGAGACCTAGACGAAAGAGAATGCCATCAACTATCGACGTACTCGACCCATACGACATCTCGGAGGACATCCTAACAATGAAGGCAAATGTGACATACGGGCAGTTGCTGAAGTACACTGATCAGCAGCGATACCTCTCTAAGATATTTAAACGAGCCAAGCCGCAAGAAGAAGCAAACCAGATAAATTCCACGGACACCTTTAAGACAACAGCAGCAAAATGCTACGTGAAAATTGGGGGCAGAACGGTGGTCGCCACCCTGGACATAGGGGCAGCAGTGAGTATAATAACAAAAAAATTGCTGGATAAACTTTATTTGGAAATAAACGAGAAATCCACCTCCGTCGTCGTCACCATTAACGGGATGAGGGAAAAGACCTTGGAGAAAGCTAGGGAAGTAGGGATAACCATACAGGGAGTAACCATCCCCGTGTCCTTGCGAGTTATTGAATCTAGGGACGAGACGCTTTTATTGGGGACCGATCAGTTCCAAAAAGAAAAAGCCCGGATACACTTTGATGAACAAAGGATACTCCTGAAATATCAAGAAAAAGAGTTGGAAGTGCCTATTTCACATAACGGCATCGAAGGATTAGCACGTCCAGATAAGGTAGAGGCAAATGATTATGAGAGCGGAGATGTCTTCGACAAGTGGGAGTACGAGAGTGAAGAAGGGTTAGAGGAAGAAGGTAATTATACAGAGGAGCAATCGGAGGGAGAAGAGGCAACCCTCGAAGAAATTTTGAGTCCCGCTATCTACCTGACTGCCTTGGAAGAAGTGCTAACGTGAGAAGAGAGAGAGCTCACCATCGAAGAACCAAAGGTGGATCTAGACAATCTGTCGGAGGAAGAGAGGAGAGAGGTGGTGAAACTTTTCGAAACAAAAGACGAACTATTCACTAGAGAACTGGACGAACTTACTCAAACCAACGTGATTCAGCACGAGATCGATACTGGTGACACTAAACCAATCAAGCAAACGTTGTACAGGATGGCTCCTGATGAACATGAATACGTAAAGGACGAGTTAGCAAAGATGAAGAGTCAAAGACTGATCACGGAGTCAAGAAGCCCATGGGCGTCACCGATTGTGATAGTGCCCAAAAAAAACGGGAAGCGGCACCTAAGTGTGGACTACAGGAAGCTAAACGCAGTAACAAAGAAGAACGCCTACCCACTACCGAGAATCGATGACTTGATCGAGACCCTCGGACAAGCGAGGTGGTTCTCGAATCTTGACCTCGCTAGTGGATACTGGCAAGTGCAGGTTCATGAAAGGGACCGTGAAAAGACAGTGTTTGTGACAAAATTTGAAACTTATGAGTTCTATGTGATGCCGTTTGGGCTATACAATGCCCTGGCGACGTTTCAGAGGCTCATGAATGAGGTGCTATACGACCACCTGGGAAAATTCGTAGCTGTATATCTAGACGACATCATCATATACTCACAAACATTTTTGAAACATACTAGCCACTTAACTCGTATCTTCAAGGAACTGCGTCGAGCTTCGCTAAAACTGAATGCAGAAAAGTACAAATTCTTTTTACTGAATATGGGGTTCTTGGGACATGTCGTAGGAAGAGACAGCCTCCGACCGGACAAAGATAAGATAGTGAAAGTGAGAGATTTCCCTGCCCCGGGGAATATAAAGCAGTTACGAAGCTTTATAGGTCTCGCCTCGTACTATTGAAGGTTCATCCGGGGTTCGCGGCAATCGCGAAACCGCTACATCAGTTGCTCGAGAAGAATGTATGATATGAGTGGATGGATAAACAACAAGCAGCATTTGAACGACTAAAGACATACCTCATCTCCGCCCCAATCCTATGGTACCCAGACTTCGAAAGAACGTTCTATTTGCATACTGACGTGTCAGGAATAAGCGTAGGAGCGGTGTTAGCTCAGGTCGACGACGCGAGGAGGGAATACGTAATCGCGTACGCTAGCAGAAGCTTGTCAAAGACAGAAAGGAACTACGCCACAACAGAGCTGGAATGCCTGGCGGTGATATGGGGATCGAATATTTCCATCACTACCTTGGCATGAAATCATTCATAGTAGTGACCGACCACTCGGCATTACGATGGTTAGAGACCTCAAAGCTGAGGAGTAGGAGAGCACAGTGGGTCCTCCGCCTTCAACCATACAACTACACAATCCTGCACCGGGCCGGAAAGAAATATTCCAACGCCGATGCCCTGTCTCGCTTGATAAGCGAAAAGAAACGGGCGAAGAATGTGGAAGTCAAGGGAGAAAAAAAGAAAAAAGAAGGGAATAATCGGTTCGAACAAATAGAAAACAACTCAGCCTACTCGCACGACGAAACAGACATCACAAACAGCAATATAGTAGACCAACAATAAAAAAAAAAAAAAAAAAAGAGAGAGAAAAAGATATAAACTACGGCAAACGCAAAAAAAAAAAAATCTGAGGAACAGAATCCAGCTCATGTTCCAGTGTCCTGGCAAATAATAATCGCAATACTAGTACGTTAATAACTGAAAGAATTGGTAAGTATAATGGATGAAGAACGATATAGACAACTAAAAAAATACCTACAAGAATGACAGCTACCCGTGGAGTGTTCACAGCAACAGGCGGAAAGGATACAGGCACAGAGCAGCTTCTTTGTGATGAAAGAAGGAGACGTCTATAAGAAGGATAAGCACAAAAAGAATAATCTACTGAAAGTATTACGGTGCCACGAGATAGGCCCCATCCTGTATTTGACACACAATCACCCACTTGGAGGACAACTGGAGAGAAACGTTATGTTTAACAAAATTCGAAATTTGTACTACTGGCCACAGCTGTATGAAGATATTCGAGCATACGTGTGATCTTGCGACCAGTGTCAAAGGAGGGGGAGGGATAAGCGACGAGGACCCCTACATCCTATACCTGTGGGAAACCCATTCGCACAAGTAGGGATCGATATTATGGGGCCTCTATCCACTACCCCTGGAGGAAATCACTATATTGTAGTTGCCACTGACTATATGACAAAGTGGCCCGAGGCTCGAGCTTTGGGAAAAGCGATGGCACAAAAGGTAACGGAGTTTATTTATGAAAAAGTGGTATGCCGGCATGGATGCCCAACTTACCTGTTGTCCGACCAGGGCGCGAATTTTAGGAGTCGTATGCTAAACACGTTTCTAGAAAAGTTCCACATCAATCACTTGTACTCGACACCATACCATCCACAAACAAACGGGCTGGTGGAGCGATTCAACTGTACCTTATGCGAGGCCATTGCTAAATCGATATGCGATGTGATGGATTGGGACTGTATGATATCTTCAGTACTGTTCGCTTATAAGATGGCACGCCAGAAGACGACAAGGATGATGCCGTTCTATCTGACATACGGGAGGGAGGCACGGACCCCAATCCACCATATGGAAAGTAACGAATCAAGGGGGAAACGATGCACCAACGAATTACCAACTTAGTAGAAGTGCTACAGCAGCGTCGAAAAGACACGGTGACACGAGTAAATGCCACTTAACAAAAGATAAAAACATGGCACGACCAAAAATGCCGATACAAGAAAAATCTTACCGTTGGGGACAAGGTACTAATGTACAAAGTATCCCAGGAAAACTCACGAAGCAACAAATTAGACCCGAAGTGGATAGGGCCATTTTACGTGCATGAGGTACGACCGAACGCTGTATGCCGGTTGCGTACGATAGATGGGAAAATATTGAATAGACCAATCAACTAACAGTTACTAAAAAAGTACGAGGACCCTGTGGAATATGGGCAACAGAAGAAGTTTGATGCCCTAAACTAATCTCGCCACCAGCAATACAGGAACAGACGTGGCAGAGATAAAAACAGACAATACAGGAAAAGCATAAAATAACGGAAGGTAAATAAACGGAAAAGGAGAAAATGGCAGAGGAAAACGAGATAAGTACCAACTTAACTTTAATCACTGCGGATCTAGCAGCAGCTGAATTAATACACCCAGAAATCTTACCTCGACCACACAAAGGAAACCGAGACGCGGCAACAAGTATCGCTGATATGTATCGACAAATGAGAAGGGCGCAACAAGAGAAAAACCGAATCAAGGCACTTGCATACGCTTTCTATATTGGAGAAATTGTTGCGAATATAATGGAATCCCTACAAGGGAAGGTACCGAAAGGTATGCTATCACAGCATTACCGAACCGGGTGTACGCGCATTTACCGGATGTTCGAAAAACAAGGCATTGCCCAAATTTATCGAACATCGTACATAACGATTAGCATGGTTAAAGCCATGCGTGGCGATACCTATCGTAATTTGATGATCGCGTGTGAGACTCGCGATCAAAGAGAAGGATAACGATAATAATAATAAATAGAACGGATGGATAGGAAAGTGGGATAAAAAGGGAAATGGGATAGTGTTAGTTTAAGTATAGTTTAGAATTTATTCAGCGATAATATTAGATTAGCTTACCGTGTTTAGTTTTGATTTCTACCCGATTAATCGGTACCTTTACTTTTATTTTTCTTTCTATTTTCTATTTTTACTTTATTTTGAAAGAAGCGGCAAAAAAAAAAAATCGGAAAAATTGGAAAAAAATTTTTGAGCAAAAAAAAAAAAAAAAAAAAGTATATTTTATTTTCATTTTTATTAATATAGTAGCTCTTATTTTTGAAATTAAACAAATAGTTGAAAATACCTATTACCTTTTTGATTTTTTTATTATTTCTTGAGGTTTATATAAATGAATAATATTGGATCCAAATATAGTTGTAGACGACCTTGGTTCCTAGAGATAGGAATCTATAGCATATGCCGGTTAAGGGCTGGTTAGCCATAGCACCCTAGGTAATATTACTTTTGGAGCAGATTGGTGTTTGAGACTATAGTATCCAAATTATATAATTTATATAAACAATTTTTTTGAACAATTATTGGATGGGTTTTATTCTTTCACTTTTATTTTTATTCCGTTATTATGCCTTATAATTACATAAATAGTTTCTTATTTTTACATTCTTTTTGAAATATTGGGAAGGGGAGAGTATCCTTTAGCTACTGTATAGATTACAGTACCCAGGCTATACGACGTGGATGTAGATACCATAATAGCCCAGTCCTCAACTTGCCTAAACACAAGCATCATTGGACCCTTGAATGAAAGAAGGAATCTGAAAGCACTAAGAAAAACAAACGAAAAATGCAATGTAATGGAAGTGGCCCACTGAGCACTCCCTATCCATTACAGTCGGCCCACTAAGTATACTCAGCGACTACTGCATTTTTCATAATGAAACCAAAAATCTCATAAGGGAAGCCAATATTAAAAAGGGGAAAGGAGCAAATCTCTAATTTAACTCAAAAGTGGAGAAGGACTGGTTAAAGGGGGTAGAAGCAGAAGTTCCCAAAATCTGAAGAAGTCTCTCTAACTGGGATATCCTATTTCGCAAGGTGAAGTTTTTCAAGGTTAAGCTCCCTATTGCGAATATGAAGAGCCCGTGCATCTTGAAGGGTATTTAATTCTGCCCTTAATTGTACAACTTCCTGTTGCAAGGCTCTTGACCACTCTCCACAGATAACTTGACGCTCCAATACCCTTACTCTTTCTTGGAGAAGGACAATAATTTTCCAGGAAGGATCCCTGAGACCAGAACGGATTAAGCGAATAGCTTTGGCGAAACGGTTTTCTCTAGGCATATTACAGTATGAAAAATAATAAGGTGTTAATAATTTTGAAAAAAATTGTTAACTCTTAAATATCGTAACAAGTACTATATGGTGAGAAAATTACAAAAGGAGTATTGGACAAATAAGTCTTGAATATAGTGTGGCAAGCACGGGAATACTGATCTGAGAATATATAGTGTATCAGCGCGGGAATACTTGCTAAGCTTTAACAATACTTGAGTATTTTTATCCATATGAGAAAGTTTTAAGGAGTATTGGACAA